GAAGTACACATTCAACAAGATAAAGAGGTAGAGAGAGTTTGTCTGTGGAATCTAATGAATAAAATAAACTGGTGAACAAAATAGATCCAGAGAGACAGAAGCATGGAACAGACCGAGAAGTTCAGAGGGAAGGAGGGGGTGAGGGGGTAGGGGTGTTTGGGGGGTAAAGGATGGAGGAGCATTCGGGTGAGGGGGGAAGAGATTAACCAAAGACCTTATATACATATATACATAACCAATGGACACAGACAATAGTGTGGTGAAGGCCTGGGGAGGATGGGTGTGGGGTAGAGGGAATCACGGTGGGAGTGTGTGTGGGGAGAACATTTGTAATACTTTCAACAATAAAGATACATTTTTTTTGAAAAGTTGCTGAAACCGGTTTGGCTCAGTGAAAAGAGCGTCAGCCTGTGGACTGAAAGGTCCCAGGTTCGATTCTGGTCAAGGGCATTGGTTGCGGGCACATCCCCAGTGGAGAGTGTGCAGGAGGCAACTGATCGATGTTTCTCTTTCATCAATGTTTCTGGCTCTCTATCCCTCTCCTCTCTGTAAAAAATCAATAAAATATATAAAAAAGAAAATAAAAGAAACGTTATCTTATTGTGGCATATGTTTTGCAGTTATATTTGTATTTCACTTTGATTTCTATTTTGTTAAAGAGTTTAAATCAGTACAATGGCAGATCATAACCCTGCTATTTTGTTGTGATCATCATTAAAATTCCTTTGGTTTTACCTCAAAGAGTTCATACACCACATGATCAAGCAAAAATACTGGAGACTCTTTAAGTGTTGACTCAAAAGATTCCTTGATGTGTTGAGGTTCTGAAGAATCTCATACTACTTTAATTGAAATATTTAATGCGTGGTCTCTGACTATCTTAGAAGTGGTTGGGTAGACCAAGGACTACTTAAAGAGGAATGACTTCAGAAGTTGGAACAAGTAATCGGATCCCTTCTATTGCCATTGATTGATTTTGTACTTTGTATTCTCTGGATGGAATAAACAGCACTGTAATAGATAAGTCTTGCATTTTGTGCAGTATTTGGGCAAAGAGCACAAATATGTTTTTTCATTAGACTGAGGTGTCAAGAAATCTGGGTTCAAGTGCTAGGTCTGCCATTGACTTATCTATTAAGTAAGGAAATGTCATTTACCTCTTTGGACCACAGAGAGATGACGTCCTCTGTAAAATATGTTGATCCAGACTTAATTCTAGATTCACCTCCTAAGTATCCTTCCAACCCACATTTCTTGAATCTGCCTTTTTCCTTTTCCCTTTGGCCTTAACGGTCTTCCCGAGGTAGACCTTAATTTGTACTTTCATGCTTTTATAAACATGCTCTTTGGAATACTCTTGGAATATATAATTTCCTTGGCGAATAACTCATTGGTGAGTCAGCATGAAGGAAAAAAACTCACTCACAAGAGAGATCAAAATTGCATGAGGTGAGACACGAGAAATGATTTTCTTTGTAAACTGAAATTATGAGATACAGAGAAACCAATTACTTATTTATACAATGAGTGCATGGTGGCAGGCTTTATGTAGCAGAGCTAAGGAGCTGCTATTTATTTAGCAAGACGGAGTCCTCTCTATACTGCTTCAAAACTGCTATTACTATAAATGTTCCTTTCAGAGAAGGAGAAGGAAAATGCGTTGGGAAGTGGACAGAAAGAAAATAAGGAAGAAGGAAGGAAGGAAGAAAGGAAGGAAGGAAGGGAGGAAAGGCAGGCAGGCAGGCAGGCAGGAAGGAAGGAAGGAAGGAAGAAAGGAAGGAAGGAGAAAAGGAAAGAAGGAAGGAAGGAGGAAAGGAGGGAAGGAGGAAAGAAAGGAAAGGAGGGAGGGAAGGAGGATAGGAAGGAAAGGAAGGAAGGAGGGAAGAAAGGGAAGGAGGGAGGGAGGAAGGAAGGAAAAAAGGAGGAGAGGAAGGAGGAAGGAAGGGAGGGAGGGAGGAGGAAAGAAAGGAAAGAGGAAAGGAAGGAGGGAGGGAAGGAGGAAGGGCTGGTAGGTTAAAAGCCCTGCCTCCACTCCACTCCAACCCCCGCCCATCTTCTGGGGAAATGCACGATCCAGGGAATTTCCTCCAGGTGCAGCCCCGCTGCTCGGTGGCCGCATCCTCATCACTATGAGGGCGGCCAGGGGTTTGCTTCCCCAGGCGGTGATTTCCCAGCTCCTCCGGTCGGCCCCCGCCCCAGGCGAAATCGGGGGCCTGGACAGCCTGGTACCCGAGCGGGGGTGCGAACGGCTGGAAGCGTTTCCCGGGGGAGCAGAGGCCGCGCCGCTTCCGGGAGGCTGATTGCATCAGGTGTGGAGCGGCGCCCCGGCCCAACCTGGCGGCCACTGCGCCTGCGCGGCCGCCGCCCGCCCCGCCCCGCCCGCACTCCAGCGCGGGTTTTCCGCCCGGTCCGCGGGCCGCTGGAGGGGGTGCGCCCGAGCGCCCCGGGACCCCAAAGAGGGGCTGGCGGAGCGGGACTCCGGGGAGCCGCGGGAGCGTTAGGGCTGGAGGGAATGGAGCGCTGGATAGAGGACCTGCCGGGAAGGTCCTATCGGCTCCCGACGGACGGGTGGTCGGGGCTAATTTCCTCACCTCGTTGGGGCTAGAAATAGAAGTCTTTCCAGCTCCAAGCCTGCATTTTTGTAAAGTGGGTTACATTTTCCAAAGTGGGCTTTTCACCCACTGTCCACAGGTTCGATAGGCAGGTCTTGGGGTGCAGAGACCCAGCCCCAAGGGTGGGCACTTCCATAGATTTCCAGGTGCAGGCAGGGGCGACCTGAGGGCTGGCCTCCAGATGGGGCTGAGGGAAATTGTGCAAAAGCCAGCTTTTCACAAGGCAGCTTCCCCTCACCATTCCTTCCTTCCATCCCCATTGTGCGTCTGTGTCAGGGTCCCATGACATGCTCTTTTATACAGAGTAAATGTCCCTCTGGCACTCTCCACGTTGAAATGACATTTTTGTTGTTGTTAATCCTCATCCAAGGATATTTTTCCATTGATCTTAAAAAATATATATATATTTTTATTTTATATATATATATATATATATATATATATATATATATATATATATATATATATATATAATTGGTTTCAGAGAGGAGGAAGAGGGAAAGAGAGAGAGAAACATCAATAATGAGCTGAAACCGGTTTGGCTCAGTATGTAGAGCTTCGGCCGGTGGACTGAAAGGTCCCAGGTTCGATTTTGGTCAAGGGCATGTATCTCGAGGGCATGTACCTTGGTTGTGGGCACATCCCCGGGGCGGGGGAGGGGGGGGGTGTACAGGAGGCAGCTGATCGATGTTTCTAACTCTATCCTTCTCCCTTCCTCTCTGTAAAAAATAAATAAATAAATAAATAAATGAATCAAAATATATTTAAAAAGAAGAAACATCAATAATGAGAATCATTGATTGGTTGCCTCTTGCACACCCCAGACGGAGGATCCAGTCAGCGAACCAGGCATGTGCCCTGATGGGAATCGAACCCTGGCCTCCTGGTTCATAGGCAGGCACTCAACCACTGAGCCACACCCACTGGGTTTCATTGATCTTTTAGAGCACATGTGTCAAACACAAGGCCCGCGGGCCAAATCTGTCCCGCCAGGCCTTGCAATGTGGCCCGCACCGCGCTGTCATCACTGCACTCCACTGCGTTTCCATCACAATGACAGTTTATGACTGTTCAGTAAACCATTCGGCCCGCGATTTAGGCTGGATTTTAGATTTTGGCCCCTTCTCTGATTGAGTTTGATACCCCTATTTTAGAGAGTGTGGAAGAGAGAGGGAAAGACAGAGAGAAACACATTGATTGGTTGCCTTCTGCATGCACCTTAACCAGGGCCCTGGCTGGGGAGGACTCTGCAACCAGGGGACATGCCTTTACCAGTATCGAACCCAGGAACCTGATTCTTTGATGGATGTCTCTGTCGACCGAGCTGGACTGTAAGCTCTATGAAGGCAATGCCTGAGCTTTTTTACTCATTGCAATCCCAGGATTGTGGATCCTCAATAAATTCACAATGTTTGGAGGAATAAAGTAATTCCCACTCCAACCATGTGGAGTCCTCACTTGTAGCATTAGGGCCAGCTGGTGTGAATTTGTTATTTGAGGAAGGAGTACATTCTGAGACCAGCAGCACCTGGGAGCTAGTTAGATCTACAGATCCGTGGGACCCTCCCCTCCTACCCACAGAGACTCTGGGAGTGAGACCCAGCAATGCTTCCATAAACTCAGCAGGCGATTCTGACTCAGGCTCAGGTTTGACAGCCAATGACCGCACGAGGAAAGAGCAATCACAAGGATGCTTTGGGGGGTGGCACTCCCAATCTCTGGGCAGAGCACTGGTGACCACTTACAGCGTGCAGCGTGTCGGTTCTACCTCGCTTGTCTGCTTACAGTTGCATTAAAGGTAATTTTCCTGGTGGTGAAAAGGAAATGATGCTTTCCCCTTTCCTGCAGGTGTGCTTCTCCCTGCGGTGCTCTTGCTGTGATTTTCATCTCCAGGAATAGTGTGTGTGTGTGTGTGTGTGTGTGTGTGTGTGTGGCATATGCCTAGGGCTCTGGATAAGGAGGCAGCAGAAAGGACATCTCGTAGCTTACAGGTTGCATCTGAGAGGGTGTGGGCAGCTCTCCTCTGGGGACATTTCCCCGTTATAGGGGGACGCAGACGTGTAGGAGGGAAAGAGACGAGCTAGGGATAAGGTCACCCAACTGCCTTTGAGTGCGGACAGAGAGCCAGGCCACGCGGATGAGGTACCCGGCCGCTCCCTGCCTGACTCCCTGCATATGGGTGTCCACATCCTAGGCCCCACACCGCCTCCTTCAACCCTTTTCCCAGACCATGGACGCGGGGACGGCGCGTCCCGGAGGCCCCCGCAGCATCAGCCTGCAGAGGTCGCCCTAGGAGCGCGGCCCGCCCCCTCCTCCGCGGCCCCCGCCCCCGGCCCCGCCTCGATCCCCCCGCGGCCCCCGCCGGCCCGGCCCCGCCAGCCTCTCCCCGCGCAGCCGCCGCCAAAGCCCGGAGAAGTGGAATGCCGCCGCCGCTGCCGGCGCGGGCCCGGCGGAGCCGCACTGGGCATGCTCAGTCGCCGCGGCCGTCCTGACCGCAAGTAGGAAGCTAGCGCGCTGCGCCCGCCGCCGGCCCGATCCCGGCGCTCCGCGGAGGAGGGCGCGACTGGAGCGCAGCCGCCGGGCGCCGGAGCCGAGGCGAGGACCGCGCGCACCCCCGGTGAGCCCCGCTTTCCTGCTCGCTTTCGCCCCGGACCCCGCGGCGGCCCGGGGGTGCTGGGGAGACACCCGGGCAGCAGCTGCCTGCGTGCGGCGAGTGGCCGGCTGCGCGCAGTCCCGGCGGCGGCGGCGGCTCCTCTGCTCCCGGATGGATCCCGGGATCCCGGGACCGCGCGGCCGCCGCCGCCCGCCCCGCCGCGGCCACAGCTGCAGCAGCTGCCGCCACATCTGCAGCGGCGCCCGCTGCGGAGTCCCGTGCGCCCTGCGCCCTGCGCCCGGCGCCGCAGGGCCGGGTGGCGTGGTGACTGCGGGCTCACTCCTGGACACGCATCCCGATTCCTGCTTTGCTTTCCGGCGCCCTCTTCCCCTCGGCAGCCCCGGCCTGGCAGGGCCTGGGGCGGGCGGCGGAGACAGGCTGGGAGGGGGTGCGCCGGAGGGGAGAAGTGAGGGTGGGCGCCGGCGGGGAAGCGCGCACACCCCCTACCCCTGGCACCACCGGCCTCCGGTGCGCGGCGGGGCTCTCCCTGCCAGGGAGTTGGAGAAGGGGCTGGCTTCTCGGGGAGGTTTAGAGACCCAAAGGGGAAAAGTTCATTTTTTCCCCCCTCGGAGGCAAAAGAGCGTTTTAACCAGAAAATGGCTGGGCGAAGGGGATCGAACCTAGAAAGCTGGCCATTGGGTCCCAGAGAGCCCCTCTGCTGCTCGCGGGGCGCGGTGGAGGGCTGGACGCCGGGAATGACATTTGGGTGATGAGACCCTTGCTGGACGGAGGAGGCAGAGGTGCGGAGTCCCATAGAAACCATGAAAGGGGGACTAGGTATCTGGTGCAGAGAGAGAGAGATAGAGCAGAGAAGTCAGGGGCAAAGGGCCGAGGGAGCATTGGACTTAGAAAAATTTGGAGAATTCACATTTTGAGTTGTGGCCGTTTTTGTAGTCAAGTTCTGTGCAGTTTAGAGACACGACTGTCACAGAGGTGTTTGGGTGGGATGAGGGGTTGGGGAGAGCCAAGACGGAGAGGTCAGTGTGCCTGGGCCTCGGGAGGGCACAGTTTTGTGTGAGAAGTCCCTCAGTCCCTGGCTTTCCACTGTGCCCGGTGACTTCGGTGAAATACCTACAGGATGATGATAAAATGATTCCAGCAGCGGTGTTCAAGAGATGAGGAAACTTTGTGAGGTTGGCATTGGTCTGTCATTTGTTTTTAAAATTTCATTGATTTTATTAAAAAACAAACAAACAAACAAACTGCTCTATCTCTCTCTCTCTGCACCAGATACCTAGTCCCTCTTTCATGGTTGCTTAGTGGTTCTGGATTTGGGTCTATTAAATCTTTGATTGATTGATGATTTTTTTTTTTTTGCCCTTGCCATGATTTCTATTTCAAATCTTGACCTCCAAAGTCCATGATAATTAAGAGCATCTGAATCCTTGTAGCTGGCCCGAAGGGAACAGCAGGTAATCCTGGTGAGGGGACTTCTTTACCTCGTAGGTAGCAGCTTTGTTGTATATTCAGTTTGTAGCTTGAAAGCAATATTGGCTCAACACTTGTGTATCATAACTTGCAGAATCCTAGCAATGGCAGTGTTTTGAAAGGATGACATTTGTCAGAAGGAGGAGGAACCTCCCGGCTGGGGGAAATGCTGGGAGAACACAGGGGGCGGTAGCGTGCAGTGGGCTGTAGGCAGAGCACCAGGCGGGAGGCAGTGGCCCGATTTCTGTTCTGTCCTTTACTCATTGGCAGGAAAAATCACTCAGGGACTACACAACCTGGGATGTCTCTAGGTGTTTGCTCAGAAGCTTTGAGAGACGACTCTAAAGTTGAGATTCTTTTCTGGGAAAGGTGTTTATGTTCTATGCTATTCTCTTCCAAAGTATACTTTTAATTACTAAGTAGTAATGGGCCTCCATGGAGCCAGCACAGTCCTGCTTTCTGAAACTTTTATATAGTGGAAAAGCTCGGTAAGCTTAAGCGTAAAAGACTGGTGTTTTACATTTAACTTGAGTAATGTGAGTACCGACTACAGAGTTATTTAGGGAAAGCCCACTAAACATCACAAGAATCTATATGTACAAAGATAAAATATTTTAAAACTGTTACCCTTTTTATGTCATGTTTAAACTTTTGATGACTTTTCTTTTCCTGCTACCAGATAAGCAATAAACATGAAATTCATGTCTCTCCCCCCCTCCCCCCCAATTACAGCAGGAATTAATACTAAAAACTTTGCCATAACATTAGAATAGTGTCATTTTGATTTCCCTGAATTCAGGATATCTAAATTTGTCTTTTAAGAGAACTCAGTATGCTTCTCTGGGTCTCTGTTTATCCTATCTGTAAAATGTGTCTCTCTCTGCCTTTTTCAGTTACACTTAAAAAAAAAAAATATATATATATATATACACACACACACACACACACACACACACACACACATATATATATATATATATATATATATATATATATATATATATTTACAGGGAGGATGGGAGAGGGATGAAGAGTTAGAAACATTAATGAGAGAGAAACATGGATCAGCTAGCTCCCTCCTGCACACCCCCTTCTGGGGATGTGCCCAAAACCAAGCTAAATGCCCTTGACCGGAATCGAACCTGGGACCCTTCAGTCTGCAGTCCGATGCTCTGTCCACTGAGCCAAACCTGTTAGGGCTTCAGTTACACTTTTAAAATAAAATACCATGATGATAAAGTACCTTACATTTTCCAGGAGGGAAGACAGACTTTTAGGAAAGTAAAGTAAGAAGGTAATTTCTATAATACTTACGTGGGTGATACTTAATGTTTCGCACCCTGGGTGAAGGAAACAAGCGTTTGTTCAAAGCTTACTATGTGACAAGTCTGTTAGTCAGCTCCTTACGTCGATTATCTAATGCAGCGGTCGCCAACCTCATGGACCACCAGTTGGCGACTGCTGGTTTAATGTGTCAGTATCTTTGACATCAATGTCAAAGGTGACTTGGGGCCAGAACTGGTTTGACTCAGTGGATAGAGCGTCGGCCTGCGGACTGAAAGGTCCTGGGTTTGATTCTGGTCAAGGGCATGTACCTTGGTTTCCAGCACCTCCCCAGAGGGCGTGTGCAGGAGGCAGCTGATTGGTGTCTGTCTCTCATCAATGTTTCTGACTTTCTGTCCCTCTACCTTCCTTTCTGTAAAAAAAAAAAAAAAAAAAAAAAAAAAAAATATATATATATATATATATATATATATATATATATATATATTTAAAATGTGACTTGGGGAAGTCAGTACATTCCTCTGGGCCTCTGTTTTTTCTATCTGTAAAATGTGGCAGTTGCCATAGAATGCACCCCTGGGTGTCTGTTGCGTTCTTTTTGTCACAGTCCAAGGCTCTGATATAGCCATTAGAGGAGAGGGGACTTCAGTTGAAGTATTAGACAAAGCCGACTTTGTGTTTCACCGAGTCTGGCCTGTCCGGCTTTGTTGAATGTCCTTCTTAACTCCCTTTTAGTTTAGTTTTGTTTTTTTAAAATATATTTTACTGATTTTTTACAGAGAGGAAGAGAGAGGGATAGAGAGTTAAAAACACTGATGAGAGAGAAACATCTATCAGCTGCCTCCTGCATACCCTCTATTGGGGATGTGCCCGCAACCAAGGTACATGTCCTTGACCGGAATCGAACCTGGGACCTTTTAGTCCGCAGGCCGTAGCTCTATCCACAGAGCCAAACCGGTTTCGGCTACTCCCTTTTAGTTTTTGTTAGAGAAAGATTGTCCTAAAATTAACTCTTTGTGCCTCTACCAAGACCAGGTAGGAAATAAAATGATGGTTAGGTTTGGGTAAAGCACATTGGGTATTTAAAACTTCTATGGACTCTTCTGAGGAGAGACACAACTTTTGGCCATGCTGAGGAAGAAGCCTCCCTGGGGGCTGCAGAGGAGGGTGTCCTGTGCTGTGGTGGCCAGGGCGCACCCACGTGTCGTTTTGGCAAGCTTTCCCATGTCCCTGCCCGCGACCAGAGATGCAGCCCTTGGTGTCTGGCTTACAGTGATCCTCTCGTGTTAACACCGTCACTGGGTTGGGTCGGTGTCCATGGTCAGCTGCTGTGGTGGCAGGAGCAGTGGCTGTAGAAATGTGCCCACGCGTTGTTGGCAAGATCATGAACTTTTTTATTATTTTATTTGGCAAGCTATGATGCTGGGGCAGAGAGTGAAGAAAACCAATCCCATTTGGTGTTTTTAGTGCCCTTTGCTTTCAAGGTGCTCACAAAACTCGGCCTCATTAACCTTTAAGTGAGGGAGGTAAGGAGAAGCCAGAGTCGTCATCAGCATTTAAGTAATCTATACCAATAAAAGGGTAATATGCTAATTAGACTGGGTCCACTTGCCATCTTCTAGGCGTCTGACTTCTTTCTGGACAAAGATATGGTTATGGGGGCCGAGGCAGAGGCAGTTAGGGGTGATTGGGCTGGCAGAGGAGGGCACTTGGGGGCAAGATCAGGCCTGCAGGGGGTAAGATAGGCTGACAGAGGAGGGCTGTTGGGGGTGCAATCAGGTTGGCAGGGGAGAGCAGTTAAGGGCGATCAGGCCAGAAGGGAGGCAAGGTAGGGGGGATCAGGCAGGCAGGGGCCAAGGTAGGGAGGATCAGGCTGGCAGGGGGGCAAGGTAGGGGCGATCAGGTTGGCAGGCAAAAGAGTTAGGGGCATTCAGGCAGGCAGGCAGGCAGGAAAGTGGTTAGGAGCCAGTCATCCCAGATTCCAAGAGGGATGTCTGTCCACAGGGATCGGGCCTAAACCAGCAGTCAGATATTCCCCAAGTGGTCCCAGATTAGAGAGGGTGCAGGCAGGGCTGAGGCGGCCCCCCCCCCCCCGCCCCCCGTAGGTGCACGAATTTCGTGCACTGGGCCTCCAGTTGATAACAAATGGACAGTGCGCCTGGAGCTTCTGATAATAACCAGGCTCCAGAGGTTACTGGGCTTCGCTAGGAAAGGAGCAGTCCCTCTAGGCCACATGTGTCAAACACAAGGCC